CCCCAAAACCCCAAAACCCCAAAACCCCAAAACCCCAAAACCCCATTTTAGAGCATAAGTACTGATACTATTATTTCTAGAAATTATCTCTCTTTTGATAGCCTCGAAGCCTCTGGGGAATTAGGCCCACTCAAGGAGTTTTTCAACGCAGATCTGGAAAGGATGTCATAGTATGGTCTCTGAATAGACCTCTTGCTTGATCGCAGACTATGGGATCCTCTGGAAATACTTACCTCTGGTTTGAGACATTAGGCCTTGGGCTCACAGAATCATTATTGATTGAGTTATTAAGTGTTGAATTTATCCCGATGTTGTAAACATTGACTTTATATGATTTCAAGTTCTATGAGTCACTGAAAGTTCCTTACAATACCCATCCTGTTGGAGTATCTCTTTCTATGGTTCCTGAAGATACTATTCTGGAGTCCATCACTACCCCTAGAATTGAGATTCTTGCTTGGAGGCATCTTGTGCTGGGGTCTTTTCTTTGCTTTTAGCTTAAAATTGATAATATTTTTCGGAGCTCAAGGATAAACCCTAACAGTCAATGATAAGGTGCTTACTTCCTTGTGGAATCTATTGACTGTTTTGCTGATGGTGAGTTTCGACTTTTTGAGTTATTCTGGCTCAAACTTGGAAGGTTCAGACTAGAGTCATGCACTAAAACTTACTTCGAATAATTGTCTTTGCTGTTTATGTATGATGCAGCGATTGTCATGTCGTTTGAGATTTGAGGCAGATGATTCATATGCCTTGAAATCACTCTCTTAGCATTCTTCATTGATTTCTTTATCTCCTTATTTATCCTTTAGACTGATTCTATTTCTTGTTCCTTCTATAATTGATGAATTAATTGAAAAATACGCTTTCTGCTCTGCTTCTTAAGAGGTCTATAAATCAAGATGAGAATTTGAAAAAATAATTCAGCAGGAAATAAATAAGTGCTATAGAGCATACTTTAGAATCTTTGATCTCGGGCTAGATCCTTTAATTGACTGGAAATTTCAGACATCATCTTCATCTTCGCTCATCATCAATCTACCATCACTTGTTCCAAACTCAGGATATCTGGTCTTAAAAATAGGCCTATCACAAGAATAGTTGGGTTTTGGTAATTTCCTTGTTAAGTCTACAAACTCTTTAGGCATCTTAATAGTATTGAGAAGTGAATTCCTAATCCCCATTTTGGAATTAGGTATTTCTCCTACATCAAAATATAGCTCTTCTATTTTATTTTTCACTTCATTTAGTTGTAAAAGTTCTTTAGTGTTAGGCCTTCTGCTTGGCTTGACTTGTAACATAAGAGATAAAACTCTTCGCAAATCAAAGGAATAATTATCAGGGATGTCTGGATACTTTCCCTTACATACCTTTTCATATAGCTCTTCCATATCATTGGCTAAGAAAGGGGGTCTGAGACAGATCATTTCATAAAGAACTCATCCAAGCGACCAAATATCACTGCTGCTATTATAAGGCTTGTCCTTCCAGACTTCAGGGCTTGCATAATAAGGAGTTCCTGTCTGTGTAGACAGTAGGCCTGCCTTAGCCACTTTGGAGACATTCAGGTCTCCTAACTTAGCAGTACCATCTTTATTAAGGAAGATATTCGCACTCTATTCCTGAAACCGTAAATTTACCTTCACATCTCTATGAAAGATATTGGCTCTATGGAGGCTATTAAGCCCTCTGACTATTTGGATAAAGGTCTTCCTACAGGATTATACCAAACTTTACCAGATATAGGTCTCATCAAACTCTATCTGAAGTTTACGGTTATTGCTGATTTTTATTGATACAAGTCTTTATCATTAGCATACTCCATAATGATGCATAAGGATAAGCTCTCTTTGTCATAGAAAGCTTCTTTATAAGATATCACATTCTTGTGATCGATAGACGCTAAGATCCTCACTTCATTTAGAGAGTTCATTATTTCTTTCTTATTCAATGACTCTATTTTAAACTCTACAGGGTTAGATGAGGACACTTCACTTCTTCAATGCGTATACTATGTTATCGGTGATTCGAAGCACCTTGTAGACTTCACTATAAGCTCCTTCTCCTATTTTATAAGTCAGAACGAAAAGTTTGGCTTAGATTATTTTTGAGACTCCAAAAAATTCAAAAATAAAACTTTCCATAAGAAGATTTCATGTTAAGTTAAGCACCCTTTGTTCTGAGAACCTAAAACTTTGGTGAAAGGGGTACTCAACTTTTTGAAAAATTTCTAAAGTTTTAAGAAAGGTTTTCTTCATTTAACACCTCAATTTTCCTGAGAATATTGATTTGCTTACCCAATTTTTCGATGATCTATACAGAGAAGTTATTGATATCAGAATAAATAAGAGAAAATGCCAAGTCTCTATTTCTGGTGCTAGAAAATTGTTGAAGCCTCACCTCAAATTGCTCCATTTCTTAACAATTATAATCAATATTTATTCGCTTCACAGGGGTTTTGGGGTTTTGGGGTTTTGGGGTTTTGGGG